GTTGAGGGTTTAGGGTTGAGGGGTTTCGGGTTTAGGGGTTTAGGTTTTGGGGCGGTCTCACGTCCTCCTGTTTCAGGTCTGGGACCAACAGCAAGACTAGGCTGCCAAGGTTAGTGGCTTTTCAGTGCGCCGGAGGGGTCTGAGGCAGAAACTAGATAGGTTCTGAGTGAGGAGTTTGTTAATTGCAATAGGGTCTTTAGTAACCCTGAACCCTAAACTCAGATTAACTTGAAGGCCCCTATAGCTTCAGCGCTGCCTTTGCTTTGAAGGTTTAGGGTTTTAGCGGTGTTGGGGCTTTAGGGTTTAGGGCTCCGCGGGAGGGTCCAGGGCTTCACGGAGCACGCTGGGGTTTGCTCGATGCTCCAGCATGAGGATGTAGGTTTTGGGTTTAGGGTTTTGGGTTCAGGGCGGATAGGGTTTAGGGTTGACGATCTGGAGGGGTCCAGGCTTCCCCTCCAGTAGCTCCGCGAGCGGCCCCGAAGAGGACTACGTAGCCTCCTGAATTTGACTAGCGTCTTGGGGAACACCAACCCTAATACGTAGCCCAATTACCCTAAACCCTTAATTCTAACCCTCGAACCCCTAAACCCTCAACATACATTCCCCTCGCACATACACTGCGAGTCTTAGTGGGTATACAGGCACGAGTATAAAGTGACTATCCTTGTTTTTCGAGCCGGGTGTTTAGGACTTTGGGTTTGGGGTTTAGGGTTTGGGGCTTGGGGTTTAGATTCAGATGCAATTTTACTTGCTATTCCGGGTCCTCCCTCAACTCTAAACTAAGACTGAACCCAAAACCCGGATCCCCAAAGTGTCACGGCCACCCCGATTGAAACCCAGACTTCGTGGCGAAGCACGCAAATAGGCGTAAGAATCTTACGCCTGGAAAGGGCTTAGGGGGTTGAGGGTTTAGGGCTTTCGGGTTGCTTTTCTTTTTTGGGGGTTCTCTTCCTCGTCGCCTAGGGATGGTAGCAGTTGAGGGTTTAGGGTGTGGGGCCAACTATTCTCCGCATGGAACCAAGACAAACGCGCTGCCTACCAAGCTTCGCTGATCCTTCACGACAGGTTTTGAACCCTTACTCCACTTCGCTCCGTCGTGGTTCCAGCCCTTTAAAGACGACAGATAGTTTAGGGTTGAGGGTTTAGAGTTTAGGGTTGCACTTCGGTAGTTGGGGTGGGTCAGGGTATTTCTTTGCTGCAGTCTCCTTCTATGTCAATGTTTGCGGGCTTTCTCAAATATAACACCCTGTGCTTCTTGTTTGTCTTGGTTCCATGCGGAGAGTAGTTGGCCCTATTGGCTATACGGGTCGCCATGGGTTTCCTACCCCCCTCACAACCCGCAAACCCTCGACCCTAATTCTTTCACTGAGGAGCCACCATAAGAACCTCAACACAACCTTCTGAAGGTTGAACTACCATCCTTACAAAGGGCAGCGTCAAAGGCTGACGTTTATGAGGCGCTTCTGGTCACCAACGTGTTTGCCCCTGATTACAAGACCGCTGCAACCTCGTACTGTCTGAACACGGACCGTGTAACCTATAACAGATATAAAACCCTACAGACCTACAAAACCCCAGTCGCACATTGCAAAAAACAAAAACACCCCATAGAAACCTCTACCAACAAAGCAGCACGCAAATTGATGACAGCGCCCTAAACCCCTAAACCCTGAACCCTAAACCAGAAACTATGAACCCTAAACCCTGAAAGCCTTAAACCCTAAACCTTACAGCCCTAAGCCCTTAAACCTAAACCCTAAACCCTAAAGCCCTAAAGAAGGCCCCTGTCGACGAGGTCCCGGCCTGGTTCTCCGGGTCCACAGACCTGGACTCCGCCAGGATCCCGGGCCCAGGGTTTAGGGTTCAGGGTTGAGGGTTTAGGGTTCAGGATTTAGGGTTTAGGGTTCAGGGTTTAGGGATCAGGATTTAGGGTTTAGGGCTTTAGGGCTTTCGGGTTTAGGGGTTTTGGGTTTTGGGGTCAGTCTTGGCGGATCTTTGGTTCAGGCTTTAGGATTCAGAACCCTAAACCCTAAACCCTAACAGAAAGGACTGTTGGGTTTAGAACCCTAAACTCTAAACCTTAGCAGAAAGGACTGTTGGGTTTAGAACCCTGAACCAAAGGACTGAACCCTAAGCCCTAAACTGTAAAGCTTAGAACCCTCGAGTTTGGGGGTTTTCAGCAAGGGGTGCCCTTGAGCGTCGCAGCCCCTAAAAAAAAGGGGGCCTTCATAATTAGAATGGGGTTTTGGGGGTGGTTCATGGGCCACAAAACCTATTCATATTTTTTAAAGGCCTCTATATTACAGCCCCTCCCAGCTCCCAACAAAGTCCTTGGGAGGGCGCTGAAGTCTGTGGATTCGCAGACCAAGGACTTGGCTTTGGGGTTTTGGGGTTTGGGGTTTAGGGACAAGGGCTCCGGGTTGATGGTTTAGGGTTTAGGGTTGAGGGTTTAGGGTTTAGGATTTTGGGGTTTGGGGTTTAGGGACAAGGGCTCCGGGTTGATGGTTTAGGGTTTAGGGTTGAGGGTTTAGGGTTTTGGGTTTACGCAGGCTGCTGATTTCGACGTCAGGTTGTAGGGCCAAGAGTTCAGGGTTTCGGGTATAGGGCTCAGAGTCCAGGGTTCATGCCTGTTTACCGCTTAAACTTAAACCCTATGACCTGAGCTGCGAGATAAAAACAAATTGAACCCCTGGACGGAGCTGCCAAAGGGTATGTGTTTCGGCTTTAGGGTGAAGGCATGTCGACCAGAGGTTGCTATAGGGCCCAAGTGATTACCAATACTGCTTTGAGGGTTCCTATTATCATTGACATTCTAGTCTAACTAAACCCTAAACCCCAAACCCTAAACCCCAAACCTTACCCCAAAACCCTATTCTATTTATTCAGGGCCCTATCTTAGGTCAGAATTCGTTGGGCCGGCCTTCCAGTGCGAGCAGTTAGGGCCTCCGCGGGTCCTCCTTCTGGGTGTGGGGTTTAGGGTTTAGGGTTTAGGGTTTAGGGGGATTTTCAGGGCTTAATGTGCATCAATATTTACCAGGACTATTATGATTATAGTTTATCAGAGGCCCCTATATTAGGCTTTAGGATCAGGGGTTAGGTGGGCCAATTGGGGTTTAGTGAGGATTTACGGCAGGGGGCTTAAGAGTGTGACGGATTGCGGTTAGGAACCCTAAACTTGAACCCCTGCACAGGGTTTGGTGATCCAGTGCTTTTGGGTCCGTGAGGGTTGGGGATGAGGGCTTAGTCATTGTGCAGAGCGAACTTCTGCTGATGATATAAATCCCGCATTACTTTCAGGACCCTAGACCCTAAACTACGGGACTTGTGGTATATTCCTTATTCTGGGATATTATGGGTAATGCAGGATTTATATCAACAACCGTCTGGCTCATCACTTTGGGGTCTAGGGCTTGAAGCCTGCTGTGGGCTTAAGTTTTCGAGGATGGGTTGCTGCACTTTCAGGG